GAAGGAGCATCAAAGTCCTCAGATCTTGATTCATCGACCAATCTTCTACTTTTACGTGGTGTTTCACTACCTTTCTTCGACATTCTATACGAACATAGTATGAATGTTTGATTTGGGGGATGAACTGATATGTGAGGGATATTGGGAAGATTTGGGGAACAATAAGGGAATTTGGGGAGATGATGTTTTAGGCGTGTGGGGGAAGATTGAGTGTATTGGGGAAAAATTGTAGTGTATTAATTTGAATGGGGGTGGGTAATTATTGGGTAACTGTAAAATAGGGTGTAAATTAAAATCAAATCCCTATTATTTAGTTTTTGTCTTTAAAAAGATAACTATATAATGTGAATTTAATTAATAATAATTTTATTTTAAAAAGTTAAAACTGTAAAAGGTAACTGTATAATTAATCAGTAAAAATTTAAAGAGTTTAGTTTAAAAAAGGTAACTGAAAAAATAAAAGTAATTATTTAAACAAATTAATTATTATTTCGATAATTATTTGTAATTTTTTTAATTAATATACTTTTATTGATATGCTATAATTCGATAATAATTTGCTATAAGAAATTTATTTTTAAAAAGTAAGTTTATAACTTGATATATATCATCTTAAATATGTGTGGAGTGTTATTTTTATTTTATTTAATATAATTAATGTGACTAAGGGGAAATTTTTTCTTCAGTCTTTTCATTAACTAATTTATTTATTCATTAAATTTTTTAAAAGTACTAAAAGATGATTATTTTATTTTTTGTTTAGTTTATGACTATTTTTTAATATGATAAACTACATCATATATTTTTTAGGGACATCAATATGCAATAGCTATAAGAAATGTATCATGTGCAATATTATATCTTTTAACTGTGACAAAAATTGAAATATTAATTAGAACTTGACGAAAAAATTACATAAAAATAGAACTATATAACTTTTCATCTTCATTCATTCACATAATAATAATAATAATAATAATAATAATAATAATAATAATAATAATAATAATAATAATAATAATAATGATAATAATAATAAGAAGAAGAAGAAAAAAAGCAAAGTAAAATGAAGAAAGTAATGTTAATTGAGCTTTCTAAAGTGTCGATCAGTAAAGTTTCATAATTTAATTTTTGTTGAATAAAATGAAATTATATATCTAATAAAAAAATATAATCAAAACAATACATGAATGAATTAATCTTCAAAATACTTGAAAACCATTCAAACTTTTTTACTAATATGACCATCTGATGAAATTTTGAAATAATGATGATTCCTTTTTCATTTTCATAAACTTGTACCAAATTAATGCAAACATCAATTTGATGAATCTTGAAGAATATCTATGATTTTTATCAATATGAAGATCATATGGCGAACTTATTAAGTACATGACTCATGAAAAAGATGAAGAAAAAAAATGTAAAAGAGAAAAAAACTATACTAATAAAAAGAAAGAATGAGAATGATCATTGAACATAGAAGATAGTTGTTATTTATAGTTTGTGTAAATCATAAGAATAATTAAAAATAAGTTGAAGAGACATTATTTAAATAGGGAATGTAAATAGATGGAGGTTTTGTTGTAACTTATTAGGTAAAATTAGAATAATAAATATGAATGAAATGATTTTTTTATTTAATAAACAAATTCTTTAATGAAAAGAAATGAAAAAAAAATAAAAAGGAGAAAAGAGGCAATAGAGAGGTGCCACATCAGCTCCTCTATGATCCTCATATATATATATATATATATATATATATATATATATATATATATTGATTTTAAATTAGTAATATTACCAAGAAAAATGGATAAGTACATGTACATTTTAAAGTATAAACCTTTAGAATTTTATGTTATATCATAAAATTTTGTTGGTAAAAGGGATTCAACAGTTTGGACATAGGAAAATTTATAAGTCTTTTGTAATTAAAGTCAATCCCACACTTCGTACTAGCATGTCGTTACAGGGCTTTGTCATTAACTCCTGCCTTAAATATTATTATCTTAAAAAGGGAAAGGATCAAAAATTTGAAAGGAATAAAAATATTCTTCGTTTGTAATTTGGTCAAAAAATATATTTATTGTCAATATTTTGGTTTTAAAATATCCTTGTAGTTAATATTTTGGTCCAAAAATACTTTTATAGTTACTAAATTATTCAAAAATGTCATTTTCTGAAGAAATATGTTATTATTTTTTACATTTTTAAACACATATTCTTCCTAATTTATAATATTATTATAGTACGATGTTCTTGTTTTTTTCCTTTTAAAATCACTTTTACAAATAAAAGTGTAGGAAATATTTTTTCTTTTTCTTAATCTCATTTTATCATTTAAATAGAATAATTTCATGTACCATTTTCGACGTATAGTATATGTCATGTATAAAATATCATAATATATCCATCATTAATTGTATTTATACAACAATAAAAATAATTATACAAAAAAGGAAATATTTTTATTTTTTATTTTTTTCTGAATTGAAGTAGGCCTTTCCTAATTAAAAATATTATTACAAAAGAATGTGATAAAAATAAAAATAAGTATTTATTTGGAAAATGAATATTTTTGATTCATTAAATAACAATAAGGATATTTTTAGACCAAAATGTTAACTGTAAGAGCAATTTTGAACCAAACTACAACGAAGAGCATTTTTTCCCCTAATAATTATTAGAAATTTTTAACCCTTTGCCATTTTTAAAATATACATATGAGAGGATTATGACTTTGCTTCCCCGTTGCTATACAGAGTATCAGGTGCGTAGAATATATGCAAACCTAACAAACTAAAATAGGACAATGACCCTTCTCATTTATATTTTTTAAATTATTGGTTTTAATTTAAAAAATCTATATATCTTATAAAAGTTCTCTTTAATATAAAAAGTTACCACAGTTATTATAACTTTTTATATTATTTTACTTTTTAAAATAAAAATAATTAATAATGTGGCTAATGTTCAAATTCTTGGGACATTTATTGTTGTCCTAATCAGAATACTTATATTTATTGATAGACATATATTTAATTACTTCAAAAAATATGTAACATATTTTAGTTTTCACATTTTCCAAAATTTTCTCGGCAAATTGTATGTACCATTAACGTGGCTATATATCTGTTTCTAATAAATACTAGGTTGGAGCTGCCTGTACAAGCACGGGCTCAATATTTATATATTCACGAGCCCAATTTTTGTGTATTATATTTGTTTTTTTCCAGAAATATCAAAACAAAAGGTGAAGATGTTAATGAATTTCATAGAAACTAATTAAATATGTTAATAAAGATATAATCGCTAATAATTATGTTGTATCTTATATTTATGAATTGCCACGTACAATTAGAGATACGATAGAATTTAGTATAAAGATTTTAAATTCACTCTCAACTCCAAAAGAAATTAAATAATGTAAAAACAAATTAGCTCAGTAGGTGATGAACTTTACTTTTATAGAATAATCAATTGAATTCTGACTTTGCAAAATGCATATTTGCATAACAATATTTTCATCTGCCGAAGGGAAGCATTTATGTCTCTTATACTTTTGGAGTAGTTGCACACACTGGCCAATCTCTCTTCTTTATGTTACCTCTCCACATCCCCTAGGTAATTGGTCAAGCCTTCTCTATGTTTCATCTTGATCTGTAACTTTGAGGAATCATTTTTTCACCCGATTGGAAAGATTCATCGTACTATTTTCTGGTATAATAAGGTAGTAGAGTTTAGCATATGAAACATTATGAATATCAAATACAACACTAGTTAAGAAAATGTAATAGTACAAAATATGGGAACAAGATTTTTTTCTCACCATGCAACCTACAAAGGGGAGAGATTGTTAATTTAATGAAAAAAATAGTTATGGGGAAGCTATAAAATGTGGCCATGGGTTGGAGACATTTAACTTTTTTCTGCAAATTATATGTAAGCTAAAAGAATTCATTGATCCCAGTTATCAATAACCAAGCTGCAGGTAGCATTTTTAAGCAACACCATCTTTGTATATCTCTTTCATTTAGCTTTTCCAACAGTAGATACTTGCTAAGATTCCAAGACATTCCAAAATGATGTGGTCGATATAGAAGAACCTAATTGTTTATAACTTCACTCTTTCTAAGAAGTCTATTCAGGTGTAAACCAATGTAGTAAAATATGAACAATTTTTCTATAGAAGAGGAGAAGAGGAAGGTGTCCAACACATTTACACGATCATTATAGTTGCATAGACTCATATTTTACAAAACATAGCGAAAATGCACCAGTGGTGTAAAACTCAAATATGCAGTAAGTAGTATAGTGAAGAGTTGCCTACAAACGTAGAGATTATAAGGGTATAATTCTAAGCTTTTCTGGAAATAAAAACAAAAGACGCCAACAATAATATTCTACTGAATTCTAGATGTTTACTGGACAAAATCCATAGAACTTGTGCTCAAAGGAAGGTGTTACTTGTTATTTCTTGCTTTTTGAGGCGCTTTCAGTCACGTCGCTTTTTATATTAGCAACTTTTACGCCTTTATATTAGCAACTTTTACGCCTAACATTCTACGTGACATATTTCATGCAATAAGATTCATAGGACATGTAGGTATATTATACACATTTTTAGTTTATGATCACAAGATTTAAAAATCCATGTCAAGTCAAAACTTAGACAAACAAGAGGCAACATATTTAAGAAATTTTAAAAGAGATGAGTAAAGAGAAAGTAGTACCGATGTAAAAACTATAAGACTCATCTACAAGAGTAGCAGATTGAACTCGTGTTGTCTGCAGAATCATAACAGCCCACTGCGATCCAAGGCAAAACAGTAGTCTTTAAGACTATGTTTCAAATTTTGACATCTTTCTCTATAAGATTAAAATTACTTTCACATTTTTATCCAAACGATTAGGATTATCTAAAATGTGCAGCTTTAGAGAGTCATCTAACAATAATACACGAATACAAATATGTCTTATACTCGTTTTTTATTTAATAGTCAAAGAATCCCCTGTTAGTTAGTTATTGATAAAATTCAAAGTGTTGCAATATATCTTGGCTTGGTAAGTTTTTTTGGTATCTAAATGTTAGTACAGTTTCCTAATGAGATTTCATTGGCATCTGCACATAAAGTAACTTAAATGTACATTATTAAACAAGGTGGAGAAATCATATTGTTTCGAGAAAGCAAAAGCTCTATATAATTTTTGTAATAATTAATGATTAATGCCCTTTGTTATACCATTAAGGACCTTGATTGTTACACAAGAAATCTCATGAAAGTAAATCAAATTTCCCTCAGATACAGGTTATATGAGAAGTTTAATTTCGTCCAATTCCTTAATGAACAAATACAAATGAAGCTGAAGTGGTTTTATCTAATTCAACATAAACATTTGCTTTCAATCTAACATGGACTCTCACTCCCGCAGAAGTTTCTGAGTACTTTCTCTAGCATTTGGTAATTGTTGTTGTGTGTTCGATATTATATTATTTCAAGCACAAATTTATAAGAAAAGTAGCAAGGGAGAGAAGCCTTGAAATACTAAATCAATGCTGCATAGTGAAGTTCAGGATCTATGGATTGGCGTCCTAATACTAAAAAGAAAGAAAGAGATGGAACTTTTTGCTTCTCAATAACTAAATAGACAAGGAAAACATAGATACTATAAAGCTTCTAAAGGGAAAGTAGACTCCATTACACTTCCACACATTGGTGAGTCCAAAATCTAAATAGAAAATATGCATGTATTTAAATATTTATATGTTCACCACTCTTAACACTAGATGGAGTGCGTTCAAACATTATGACTGGGGATTTGTGAAACTCACACCATTTAACCAATCTTCCCTTGTGTTTGAGTACAAGAAGAGCAAATATGGTAAAGCGTATGATTCTTTTACAATCTCAAGAGACAATAAGGATGTTTTAGCTTATGTCCATGATGGTTATGAATCGACTACTTTGACAAATTAAACTCAAAGAATTTTTTTCTTATCCTTATGTACAAATTACAGAGTAAATATCATATATAATTTGTGAAAGCGGATTATTTATATTGAAACGGACAAGTCCTTTAGTCTTATTGACATAACTATAGAAAAATATTAGCATCATGCAACAAAATTGAACCCTACCTACAATTATAGTCACCCCCGCACCATATTCTTGAAAGCTGACTTAGAAATAATAGGATACCTCAAAAAAGCAAGTGAAATTCAGTTCAAAACAAATATTCTACGAGAACAACAATTATTTAAGAACACCTCCACTGTATCTCTTATACAAGTTTGTATTATATTGGTGCATCAAAAGAAACATAAAAGATTGGAAGCTCTCCCATTTCACTAAGCTCTCATTTATCATTAACATATATATTTGCATCTCACAATATCATATATCAAGTAAAATAAATAGGTTACAGAGCATTAGGAGACAAATTTAGAGTTCATACTCTAGTGCCAACACCTAGATTATGTAACTGTTATTTATTTAGAAGATTTTACCGTCTACGGAACTTGAAACATTATAAATAATAATAAGTAGTTCACTAAAATCCAATTTGTTAATCTCAGAATGACAGAAAATTAGTTTAACAATGGATAATTATTCTTTGATCTTACGCTTCTACTCAACAAGATATTTAAAATACTATCACATCATTATCTACAGAACTCAATGAAAACAGAGAAGTAATACAAGCACTATATAATTCAACATCCTTTCAACAATGATATATTCACAATGAACTTATCTTCTCACCATATTCTCTCGACAAACCAATGACTTTTAGAGGCTTGTATTATGCCTGGTACATGATGAAAGATGAGAGGATTATAATTACTGAAGAGTTCTTCCTTATATTAGTTGTAGCAGAAATCATACTCAATCCAACTTCTCATTAAACTGTAACCACTTCCGTGTCTGCGCCTATTTCTCCTAGCTCTGTTCCTATCCCAAATCATTCACTTTCATATGATCATATTGTGTCTGTAGGTTCATTTTTCTTTTTGTTAATTGTAATTTTATAGTTCTCACTAAGTACTTACATTTAAGGATGCAACTAAATATATTCTCCCATATCTATCTATTTTTCCTGATTAGTCACCTGGATCTACCGATAGACCAGTAGGTCAATTCGAGTAGAAGTAATTGAAAATTCTTAAACTCCAAGCTAAACCCACAAGAGCCTATGAATGGAGGAAGATCAAAAGAACACTGATAAATAAACCCGAGCTAAAATAAAGAAACCCATAAAGTTAAATCTGACTAAAAAAGACCAAATTAATTACTACATGCGAAAAAACACAACAAAAATTTGAATCTGAACAGATTTTCGACAATCTAAAACAAAACACGGAAAACATAATCACCCAATAAAAATTGAAGACACAACTATTAAAATTATTCAAACTTCCAAAACACAAGGATAATCCAACATCAATGACAAACCTAAATGGAAAAAATAAGCAAACATCACACACTCATATCAAATTTGGGACTTCGACTTTGATGAAAAGAAAGATGGCACAAAAAAGAACACTAAATTGAAACATGAAAGAACCCATACCTGAAGAATGCTGAAGAAAAAGAAGTGAACTTTGGTGTGCACAGACAGTGGAGCATAAACTCAAATGAAGAAGATAAGAGCAGAGTATTATGAAGTACATTGATAACATAGGAGGAAGACACGTAGGGCAATGAGAAGAAAAAAATGATGACACGAGAAGAGGACACGTATTCATAATTGAGAATTGAAAAGACAAAATTAACCTTAAACGCAATGAAGCAAGCATGTTGAAACAAGCCTCTTCTAATAGTTAAATATTAAGAAAATTAAGGAAAATCAGTTTAAAAGGGAAAAAGAATAGGCAACGTGGCTGCCAAAATAAAAGAAAAAAACCAAATTAACTGGTGCTTTTTATTAGGAACTCAAATTATTTAGCCATTAACATTTATATATTTATTATTAAAAGTTGAAATTAAAAATCTAATGATTGTCTTACGCTTAATATATTCTTAAACTTATTATAAATCAATTTTTTGTGGTATTAAAGTTTTGACTTTACCTATCTTATACAGTTGATGTTTTTGAATTTAAAACAGATTATTGTTATAAAACAATATAATATGGATGTCCACCTATTATCTTCACTATTTTTCTCATTATGAACCTCCATAACCTCCACCTTTATAACCATTATTCTTGTAACCTTCTACTTTCATAACCTCCCTATTCTATTCATGTTAATGTCATGTTTATGACTAACCTTTTGTATGCCTCTATGCTATATTATAAATAGAGGCATAAGGGTTCATATTGTATACACTTGAAGATTTGATGAATACTTTGATGAATAAGCAAAGCTCTCATCTCTTATTTCTCTATTTCTATTGCTTTCATTTCCTTTATATTTTGCTTTAGTTTTACAACACGTTATCATCACGAGTTGCTCATTCTCCGTCAAGAATAAATGGTAGGTGATTTTTACGAATTATCCTAGTAATTTTTTTGGTTTCATGGTATACTTCATATCCTATATATTATTTGTACTAACAAAGCTTGTTTTGTAGTTATTCTAGAATGATTAGTAAATATAATGATCTTCATAACAATCTTGAGTGGGACAATTAAAATGTTTGAATTTATTTTAATTTGGGATTATTATATGATTCTAACATGTGGTTCTAATTAATTGATTTGTTCATTCTAACATGATTTGTTCATAATATTGGAGTTGTAGTGAGTCTCAAAAAAAACTTTTTAAGTTTCAGAAGAATGTAAAATAAATATTATATTGAAACTATAAATTATGGGAAGATTTAATATCTTCAAATCACTACAATCAAAGTGGATAATATATATTTATGTATAAGATTATCCAATTTTTTTCGTTGTTTGTTGTATACAAATATGGGCATGGTGATGGAATCACCTGCAAAAGTAAACTAGAAGTTTACTTGAATAAATATCAGTTGGCATAATCGGTTGGTCATTCCGATTCAAATGTGATGCAAAAGAAATTGAGAATTCACGTGGCTATATGTTGAAGAAATAAAAGATTCTTCATGAATTATCTTTTGTAGTTTGTTCTCGTGATAAAATAATCATTGTACCAACTAAGGGTGAGCTTTTATCCCCTGAAATTATTTGGAACATATAAAAAGGTGAATATGGGTCCGTTCACCTGCCATGTTGACCGTTCACTATTGTGATTTGATAGATGCATCTATGGTATGATAACATGTGCATTTGTATCAACTTATAAATTAATTTTTGTAAGGTTATTTGTTCGAATTATTAAATTATAAAGAGCACAATTTCAAACTTTAAAGTCATGCTGATAATGTTGGTTGGTTTAGCAGAAATTGTTGCCTCCAATTATAGCTAGATCATTGATTATGAGAAAAAATCTCTCAAGTAACATTTGGTGGTATGAGATGAATTTATTTAACATGTATGCATCAAGCCAGCAAGGTTCTCCCAACACAATTGTTTTTCAGGAAACAAATAATTTCCATCTAAAAATTGTGTTGGGAACACATATGATTTTATTACTCCACCACGCACAAAGATAGATTCCCAATTGAGATTGAGGGTGAATGTTAGATTACTAACATTATGGGAGATATATGTAGCAGCTGAAAATTATATGTGGCGTGAATTATCTAGATCCTCGTTAAAAAAATGTGAACTTGAAATTCAAGAGATAATTCATTTGCAAAATGTTGTAAGTAATTTGTCAGATGTATTTGCTGACCCAATATTTTAATAAAGCTGCAAATGCTCCAATAAATAACCCTTGAAGGACAGAGTCTATGGTACGCCAAAAGAGTGATAGACCAATTGATTCCAAATGTAAAACTTCTTAAGGAAGGAGAGCAGCAAATTATCAAAATGGTCATTGATAATGAGGTACGTGCTTTGAAAGAGCACTATGACATAACACTTCATAAAATCTTGGCGAAGGTTCGGGTACCTAAAAATGATGAAAAATGAAGAGATCTCGATAAGTTATGGCGTATTGGATTCGATATCAAAATGACCATCGATGGTATATTTGATATGAAGTAGCAGTCAATGCTATAAATGGTTACATAAATTTTAAATTTGAATCTGTCATATAGTGTGGACAGATAAATGATTAGCCAAATAAAATGTAATATTCAAGTATATTTTGTTTCACTTAGAAAAGCGATGTTCTTGAAAGTATAGTTCATAGATTAAAATATATGTCAGTGGACTACAAATGAATCATTGTGTGAAAGTATAATCGTAAGATATGAAGTACGGTTTGTGCCTTGGGGCATAGAGAGTTTTCGCAAAATCCTGATATTATTAAATGGAGATATATTCTCTAGTGATGGATGCAATAAGACTTGTTTCAGTTTAGCAATAGATGAAATAATTGAATATGCATAATGATTGATTATTACGTCTAACTAGACGATGAAGGTTATACGAAAATCCTTGAAGGATTTAAAAGGTCTTAAAACAATTTCATTGAGTGGACAATGATTTTGAGATTGCTTAACACAGAGAATGAATCTTTTCAAACTCATGAAAATGATATGTTATGTATTGGTGCAATTGGTGCACTTACATATTGATGGTTATGCAAATTCTAGAAGATGTCTGATTTTCTATGAAAATAAAAGATGAGCTTCAATAAAATTGATTAATCTCTCATGAGTCAAATATGATTTGATTATGTAGATGCAGAATATTTATTTGATCTACACAAAGCTCGATCGCAAAAGAGCTATTTGCCTACATATAGAGGCACAACAATATTTTGACATTCAACAAACATTGGTAACCACTTCTTCAAATCATGCAGAAATAATACTGATCTATGAAGTAAGTTGGGGTGTGTTTGGTTGGAATCATGATCCACCATATTCAGAAAATATGTGATTTTTCAGCCACTATATACGACAATAATATATAGCTCATTGAAGGGAGGATATAATCAAAAAAGATCGAACAAAGTATAGTTCACCAAAAGTCTTTCACACATGATCTTCAACAAAATGGTGAGATAGACGTTCAAAGGTTTATTCAAGTGATAATCTTGTAAACTTATTCACTAAAGATTGCCAACATCAATATTTGGGAAGTTGTGATACAAGATTCGAATGCATTGTTTTCGAGATATCAAGTGAAATTTTTATCAGGGGGAGAAAAATATGCATTGTCCTCTTTTCCTTAACCATGGTTTGTCCCAATTGGGTTTTCCTGGTAAGATTCTTAACGAGGCAACACTCAAAGCGTATTAAAAGATATGTATACTTTTTTTCCTTCACTAGAATTTTTTCCCACAAAATTTTTTCCTAGTAAGGATTTAACAAGGCATATTATCTATGGACATTCAAGGGGAGTGTTATAAAACAATATAATATGGATGTCCACTACACCAATAAATTACTCACCCATTACCTCCACTATTTTCCTCATTATGAAGATGATCATAACCTCCACCTTTATAATCATTATCCTTGTAACCTTTCACTTTCATAACCTTTCCATTACATTCATGTTAATGTCATGTTTATGACTAACCTTTTGTATGCCTCTATACTATATTATAAATAGAGACATAAGGGATCATATTGTATACACTTGAAGATTTGATGAATACTTTGATGAATAAGAAAAGCTCTCATCTCTTATCTCCCTATTTCTATTGGTTTCATTTTCTATATTACTTATCTTATTTTGCTTTAGTTTTACAACAATTATTACTTTCAGAGTTTTAATTTTTTATTTTTTATTTCCTCTCTCTATAAATACAAAATACATAATTTACTTTCTTTTTTTAATGTGATTTCATCTTTGAAATATAATCATCGTCGAAAATCTTGATTTTACTTCATCACTTTCATGTATCAAAATTAAATTATGGTCTCTTTTTTCAATGAATTTACCTCTTTGCATCATTTCTGTAAAGAAAAATTGAAAGAAGAAAATGTTCATTATAAACAAATGAAGAGGTTCTTTTGTTAAACAATCCAAATTCAACATTAGATTGAAATAAACATATTGTGACTGAGTTTTATATGGTGTATATACTACGAATTTATGAAAATTTTGATCAACTTCCTGAATGAATTGACTACATTATACATGAATTATATTTAGTAATGTTTAAATATTATTTAGGCACATATTGAAGAATTTTTTCGTCTCTTAGAATTAGAGTTAAAAGAAAAGTCAACTTTCAATAATTTCAAATAACTTGATAATTTGTAAAATCTTAAATTTCTCCTCATATTTATTTTTTATTTAAAGATGATACCCAAAGATACTTGGGAGAAAATGCACACTTATCAATAGCTATATAATGAAACATTAAATCAAAATTATTATGCATATTTTCGTGTAACTTATTTTATTTGTACTTATGATAAATTTAGGCATATTAAGATTTATCATCGATATTTAAAAATTGGTTATTTCAATAATTTGTGTGAGTTGTCATTTTTTAAATACTCTTTAAAATGGGTGATATTACTACTTACATGCCAAATTCACAATAAATGATCTATCCCTCTGAATTGATATAGAAGTAATATTAAATTCACTTAAAATTTAGAAGATAAAAATGGTAAATCCATCCTTAAAATTAAATTCAATCATGAATTCAACATATAAATAGCAATATGTTATAATGGGCA